TACAAATAATGAAATAAATTATATTTATAAAAAAAACTCTTTAATAAAATTTGGTATAATCAATTTAGTTATATTGTTTTCGATTAAAAAATTAAAATAAAGAAATAAATAATATTTGTGAATAAAATATAATGAACTAATTCCTAAAACCCTCCTATGGTATTTTTGTCATTTCACACTTTTTGTACATTTCTCGAATTTATTTTTATTTGGATGAAAGTGTAAGAATAAAATGATATTGGTGTTAAATTAACAATATAGATAAAAAAGAAGGGGTTAATGTGCATTGTCACGTGCCTCCCACGTGACTTTTCCGTCCAAAGTAACAGCAATATCAAACGGTGGACGAAAATTGTAAAAAAAACTGATTATTTAAGGACGAATTTCGTGACAGAAAAAGTTTAAGGACCAAAATAAAGAAATGGTGTATAGTATAGGGACCGAAACTATAATTATCCGTAGCTATACCCCATGTTTGATTAACCATTCGGGTAACTTGGCTGGGTCATCGTCGTCTCATTGATCACCCGGGCCCGATATATACACCAATTTGATGACCCACAGACGATTCTTGGTCATTGATCACCCGGGCCCGATCGTTACACCAATTTGACGACCACAAATTAAACGATTCTTTGATAAAGTTAGGTGCAATGTAATTTAATGTAGAGAAGTTAGTTGGTGATTCAAAAATTCAAGCAAGCAGCAATCCGTGATCACACACTTTACCTACTATATATATATATATATATATATATATATATATATATATATATATATATATATATATATATATATAAAAGCATGGCGCATCTTATCCACTGCTGCTGCATTTTGGTCCAACATACAATCAAATTGCGTTTGATAATAACTTTCTTGTTTTAGTTTCTTGTACATGTTATCAACGTGGACGCTATTTAAATAAGAGAGAGATTATTTCATTTCATTCATAAAATATAATGGCTCTACAACCATTCGGGAAGCCAGTGTAGGGGCAGGGGCCGACATCAATTTTTAATTTTCTTTACTAATATAGCGATTTTCATATGTAATCCTCTATATTCATTAAAAAAAATATTTGGTCCCTCGTGTTTAAAAAATCAATATTTTTAGTCATTTCTATTAATTTTCCGTTCGTATTAACGAAATAAAGCGTGTGCCAATGACTACCTTAACAGAAGAAGTAACCGTAAATTGGCGGAAATCACCAAAAGTGTTTAATTATTGAAACATAAGGGACCGTTTGTGTTTTTTATGAACATGGGTGACCAAACGTGAGATTGATGCATACTTGAGGGATGAAAAATGTAATTTTCCCAATAGATATGTATATATAATTTATTGTTTTGTATTGTGACCGTACAATTTTTAATAATTTAGTTTTTTTAATAAATAAAATTAATTACTTGTAACTGAAAAAAATAAAGAAAAATAATAATCAGTGTAACAAGTTGGATAAGAAAGTTACGAATTATGGCTCAGAACCGGGGGCTTGCAACACCACTCTCAATTGAAAAATATTATACTTTATTATACCTTTATATTTATTTTAGTCCACCCAAAATTCAAAGTAATTCAAAAAAAGTCCTTCAAGTTTTTATGTTATTTTTTTACTTTTCCTATCTTCTGGTTTTATCAACAAAAATGAAAATTAAAAACACCATGTAACAAAATTTTACATTCTCCACTCCTTAAACAATCATCATTGTCATTAATTTTTTATGTTATATTTTAATTCGCCCCGTCCACCTCATAATAAAATTCTGGCTTCGCCACTGTCTACAACTGTAAAACTATATGGTTGGTGGGACCGGGTCAATGAGTCCACTCGATGTAGAGTTAACTGAGCACTATAGAGATTTTGCTGGATCAACCCGGACCTAATTCAAGCATTTTTTTCTCCAAGGCATTAAACCTCGTCTTTCCATAGCTATCGACGATCACGAGTTCGCGTGCCGTGACCGACACCTAGCTCGCATTCCATGTTAGACCATCTCTAATCGATCGTTTATAAATAGTCATTTATATCTATAACAAAAAGTGAATAGTGTCTTAAAACACCAATTTTAGCAGTTCACTCCAACCAGCAATGTTTATATTTTACACAATTATTATATTTTATCGTTTTAATTTTATAAGTTTTATTTCAATTTCAACCACTATATGTATATTCTCCTTAAAAATATTTATTATTTGACTAATAAATAATTAATATAACAACAATTAAGTTTCAATTATAATTAATAATGAATATGACGTTAATTAAAAAACGTGTCAAATATATTATTTAACTAATAATAATTAATATAACAACAATTAAGTATGTGGTCCCACTGATCCTCATCAGAGTGGGAACAAAGCATGTTAATTAAAACGTGTTCGCTTGTCTTGATTTGACATCTGAGTTTTCCGTTTTATTAGAAATGCCAGCTAATATTTCTCTTTGTGTAATTTTGCTGACTGGACTCCTCCAGAAAAGATATGCATTAGTAATAAAACCAGGTAACATTATTATAATAATCCACTCTGCATTGGCAAAACATATATAAGAATAAGATAATGTTTGGTTCAGTTTTCTTTTCACTTTTATTCTTTCCCTAAAATGAATTCGTTTTCGTTAAGATTTCATAAAAGAATTGCTAAAAGAACTTCATAAGTTTATCTTTTTGCCGGACATAATTTGATTGCTACAGTAATAAAATTGACCGCGAAAGTAAAACTTGTCTTAATTAAAAAAGCAAGGGTAACTTACAACCACCCCTGAGGTATGATCAATTTACGAAAAACTCCCTCTTGTTTGGATAATTGCATCTACTCCTCAACTATGATTTTTTCTTACACCTCCACCCTTATGGTGTCAAATTCAACATAATCATCTAGATTTCGTGGAATTTGCTCTAGTTTGTACTCATTGTGTGTAAAAATACAGTTTCTGATGCACCACAATCTGGTATATACAAGCCAAAAGACACATATTATGATCATCTTGTTTTAGAATGTGTTGTTCGAATGGGATAAAACGGGTACAAAAGTGATAACATTCCATATAATCTCGAAGATTCCACTAAATTTGAAACCGCAAGGCTGGACGTGTAAGAAGATTTATAGTTGAGGGGTGGTTGTAATTACCCAAACAGGAGGGAGTTTTCGTAATTTGACCATACATTAGGGGTGGTTGTAGTGTACCCATTAAATTTGCAACAATTGCACATTTGGTCTTCTATGTTAAAAAAAAAAAAGACATTTTGGTCCTCATGTTTTAATAATTTGACTTATTTTGTCATTTTCGTCAATTTACCGTTACTCTGTCAGCTACGGTAGTGAGGACACACGTTTGATTCCGTTATTTTTAACGGAAATGACTAAAAGCGTTGAATTTTTAAAATATGAGGGACCAAATGTATTTTTTTTATCATAGGAGACCAATTGTGAAATCAGTGCAAACTTGAGGGATGAAAACTGTATTTTTCCCCATAAGTATGTGTGTGTGTGTGTTGTGCATAAGTCCCCAACCAAACATCTTTATTATTCTAAGTCTAGAGGCTATATCTCTTTCACCAATAAACACATCCCTTTAATATTTATTATAAATAAAGAAAACATTCATGTATATGACAATATTACCTCCAACCCTACTATATACTCAATTCTTAATTGTAACCCCAATTTAATCAATTTTGTCCACAAAAATCCATTTTTGACCACAAAAATCTAATTTTGACTTCTTTTTTTTTCAAAACTTTTTTTTGCTGTCGGATTCTGGTGTTGACTTTTCGATTGTTTTTGTTTCTTCCGGATTTTTTCGCCGGTTTCCGGCGTTGACATTTTTTTTTTCTTTTTTTTTTTCCGGCATTGATTTTTTCTAGTGTTTTTTTTTTTTTTTTTTTTTACGTCCGCCGCTTAACGTCGACCGTAAAACAGTAAATTAACGTAATTATACTGTGAATGACAGTTAATTAACGTAATTGTACCGCCGTTGACAATACATTTATGTAATTGTTATGCCGTTGACAGTAAATTAACGTATTATTATTATTTTTTTTTTGTTATTTTTTTTTTATTTTGTTTGATTTGTTGACAAGTCAATGTAATTATATTACTGTTGTTGACAGTAAAATAACTGTAAACACAATAATATTACTGTCAACAACATCAATATTATTATTGTTTTGGGTTTTTTGTTTTGTTTGAGTTATTCACGGAGTAACGTAATAATATCACTGTCTATTATTGTAATATTACTGTAAACACAATAATATTATTGTGGTTGATGGTAATATTACTGTTGTTATAGTAATATTGTTGTCAACCACATCAATATTATTATTTTGTTTGGATTTATTTTGTTTGTTTGAGTTATTCACGGAGTAACGTAATAATACTATTGTCTATTATTGTAATATTACTGTGGTTGATGATAATATTACTATTGTTATAGTAATATTACTGTCACTCACAGTAATATTAATTCTTTTGGATTTTTATTATGTTTACATTTTTTGAACGGTCAACATAGTAATATTACTCTATTACACAATAATAATAAGTTTTGTTGTGTTAATATTACTGTGCTAGAGATTAATATAGCAATATTGCTGTGTTAAACTGTAGTTTAGTTAATTTTACTATGTTTAACAGTAATATAGTTAATATTACTATCAATCACAGCAATATTGTTGTTTAAACGAAAAAAATGCTACGCCGGTAACGCCGGAATCCGGCGGCAAAAAAAAAAGTTTTGGGGGTCAAAATTGAATAATATATGAAATTTGGGGTCAAATTGAGGTTAAATTAAATTAATGATGAAATTAGAGCATATTAAAGTATGAGGGGGCTATTTTAGTCTTCTACAAAAATATGGATCATGTGTGGACTTATTTGTAAAAGAGTTTTTTGTCTCGATTTCTTTATGAATAAGTACCCATTGATAGACTTATTTGTAATCACCCCATATATATATATATATATATATATATATATACATATATATATATCCCAACCACCAAACGAGAAACCCATATATATAGATGTTCTCTAATGAAAGTCTTGATAATTTATTTCAAAAGAGAAACCTAGTTGACTTTTATTGTGTTGTGCTTCATTTCTCCCCAATAAATAGAAAAAAAATTAGACATAGTTTGATCTGCATGATCCGTACAATGTCTCTCATAGCTTATGCAATATTCATATGCTCTATCATGCTTGCGAATATCGAAGCCGATAATTCCAAACAACCGCTCCCACCATTCTCTTGCGACTCCGAAAATCCATCCACAAAGTCATTCCCATTCTGCAACGTCGATTTGCCGTTACACGAGCGGGCCTACGACTTGGTTTCCCGACTCTCGTTGGACGAGAAAATCTCGCAGCTGGTCAACACCGCACCGGCCATCCCACGGCTAGGAATCCCCGACTACCAGTGGTGGTCGGAGGCACTGCATGGAGTTGCAGGGTCCATGGTAGCGGCCTCCGGCATCACGTTCGGCGGGAGTATCCAGGCGGCAACTAGTTTTCCACAAGTTATACTTACTGCAGCTACATTCGATGAGAAACTTTGGTATCGAATTGCCAAGGTTAGTATTTTATCCGTAGCAAAAATTATGACCTTAGAGTAGAACGTGGTGGGCTCAATTGTAATATGTCACAATCTTGATTCTTTATTTTCAATTTTTTTTTGAATATTTTAATCACCATGTGTTGGCGATTTATTATTTAGGGCCCATTTGGCTAAACTTATTCTAAATAACTTATAAGCTCTTACGTTCGATAAGATATTTTAAGAGCTGATAAGCTGTTTCATCTTGTTTTTAGAATTAATTTTTAAACTGTTTGGATAATGATCTTATAAGCTATTTTTACTCATTATAAGATCTTAAATAAAAAGGTGGGGTAGATGTACTTTTTAAAAAAAAAATTTATTTGCTCTCCAACAGCTTATTTTAAAAAAAAAGTTATGATATTTAAAAAAAAAATTAGCGAGCACTTTGAAAAAGCTTATAAGCTCTTAAATTTCTTATAAGCTCCTTTTAACATCTTACCTTATAAAACACAGCACCACTAGCTGCAGCAGACCATATTATTAAAGAGGATAATACATAAAAGATCAAAGACAATTAAAATATTCGATAAATTATGAAAATCCTCTAAACTTAGGCTAAATTATGAAAAACACCACACTCTATCCGTAATTACCAAACTCGCCGTCACGTTTGTTTTTGTCTTACACCGACCCCTTTACAGTATGGTTTTTCACGAAATTTGTTTTATACTACGGAATATTTCGCGAAAAATGCTAATTCTACACTTGGAGACTGAACATGTTTATGTTACTTTTTAAAATAAAAAGTTAACCTAGAGATGTAATGGTAATATACTCAAAACGATGTGAATGTGTTATTTAAGAAGACTAAAAATTCCGTATAAAAGCCCCCTTAAAGGTAATTTTCGTCTTTAAAAAGTAGCATAATGAAATGCCACGTCAACATGGGTAGAATCGACATTCTTCGAGAAATATTCCCTTGACTCAAAATGATTTCGTGAAAAATCGTTCCATAAGGGGGTCGGTGTAAGACAAAAACAAACATCAGGGGGATTTTGATAATTATGGATAGGTGGGGGTATTTTTCATAATTTAGCCTAAGTTTAGGGGGGTTTTCGTAATTTTCCCTAAATCAAGATGTCAATTTGCAGCTGAATCTTCACTAGTATTGATCATGCAGCTTTAGAATGCTTTTGTTAGTATCTAATACAATTTGAGTACTATGCATTAACTGAAAGGCAATAGGAACAGAAGCTAGAGCTATATACAATGAAGGGGAGGCACAAGGCATGACATTTTGGTCGCCGAACGTAAATATTTTCCGAGATCCGAGGTGGGGAAGGGGGCAAGAGACACCTGGCGAAGACCCTTTTATGACAAGCAAATACGCCGTCTCGTTTGTTCGCGGAATCCAAGGGGACAGCTTCGAAGGCGGCCAACTCAAAGACGGCCGTCTTTTAGCCTCCGCATGTTGCAAGCACTTCACTGCCTATGATTTGGAGAGTTGGAACGGGAATAGTCGTTTTACGTTCGACGCTCGTGTATGTATGTTATATTTCTTTTCTAATTATCGATAAACAATTCTTTAATTAAGTTGCAATTGAATATTAATACGAGAATCGGTTGTTTGGCTTTATTTTCGTATAGGTGACAGAGCAGGACATGGCAGATACGTATCAACCGCCTTTCAAAACATGTGTGAAAGATGGTCGGGCGAGCGGGATTATGTGTGCTTATAACTCTGTAAACGGCGTTCCGAATTGTGCTGATTACGATCTATTAACGAAAACTGCTCGTGGCGAATGGGGATTCCAAGGGTAACTCTTTTAGTAATCTGAAAATACAATTAGGTTGAGATGATTAGCCATGATTAACTAAATAATTGGACCTTGTTTAATATTTGATAAACCAAATAACTTTTAGGGAGATTTTTTGTTGGCCCTTTCAGGGTTTGATAAAATAATATTAGATTATTAAATCATTTATTGACTACTCCTATCTTGACAACCAAATGAGGCCTTAGGTTCTTGCTGATGTTTATTAATCATGTGTCTAATCGTGTCACTGAAAACGACCAGGTATGTAGTATCAGATGATCAAGCGGTCACGCATCTATTCGAGATGCAAAAATACTCAAAATCACCCGAAGACGCTGTGGCAGATGTGCTTAAAGCAGGTAACATTGTACCATTTTCAAGATTTTTTTTTTTTTTTTTAATTTAAACATATAGGCTCAATTTAAAATTTTAATATAATGTATTCGAACAACTTTCTAATGAAATCTTCTATCGAAAAAAAAAAACAGGATTGGATGTCGAATGCGGCGACTATTTGGCGAATCACGCAAAATCAGCAGTCGAAAAGGGGAAAGTGTCGAAATCTGATATAGACAGAGCCCTTCATAACAGCTTCACAATCAGGATGAGATTAGGACTTTTCAACGGAAATCCAAGTAAACATGTATACGGGAACCTAAGCCGTAACGACGTATGTAGTCCCGAGCATCAAGATTTAGCCGTTGAAGTTGCTCGTGATGGCATTGTCCTTTTAAAGAACTCTGCAAATCTACTTCCACTATCAAAGTCGAAAACAAAGTCTCTTGCAGTAATAGGCCCCAATTCCAATGTATCGGAAACACTCTTAGGAAGCTACGCGGGCCCCCCATGCAAGACAATTACTCCACTACAAGGACTAATGAATTATGTCGAGAGAATCGAATTCCATCAGGGCTGCGAAACCGTCAACTGCACCTCAATTGCCTCACGAGAAACGATGAGACTTGCCAGATCAGCAGATTACGTTGTACTCGTAATGGGAATCAATCAAGATTTTGAGCGCGAAGATTTGGATCGAGAAGACTTGGTACTTCCAGGTCAGCAACAGAGTCTTATCATGAGTGTTGCAAAGGCAGCTAAAAATCCGGTTATATTAGTATTGCTTTGTGGAGGTCCCGTTGATATTTCGTTTGCGAAAAATAACCCCAAGATCGGAGGTATTTTGTGGGCTGGATATCCCGGTGGAGCAGGGGGGAAAGCAATTGCAGAGATCATATTTGGTGACCACAATCCAGGTACATCTCATGAGCCAAATGTTTATAGATATACTAAGATTAATTAACGGGTAAACGACATAAAACCTCCCTGTGTTATGACAAACAAACCCCCCTATGCGGTTTTTTATTGAGTAAAACCCCCCGTGTTACATTTTTTCTTGCATGAAATCCCCATTTCCATTAATAGTTAACACCGTTAACTATAGAGGGGATTTTATACAAGTTTTTTTGTATAATAGAGGGATTTGGTGCATGGTTTCGCAACACAAGGGGGGTCTATGCAAAATAAATTTATTAATTTATATGTTGATTTTACCAGGAGGAAGGTTACCTGTAACTTGGTATCCGAAAGATTTCAACAAAATACCAATGACTGATATGAGAATGAGGCCCGATCCTTCATCAGGCTATCCGGGACGAACTTATAGATTTTACCAAGGCGAAAAAGTTTATGAATTTGGCTATGGTCTTAGCTACTCAAACTATTCTTACAAATTTGTCTCCGTCGGTCAAAGCAAGCTCGACGTGAAGCTTGAAAACTCGGGGGATATTTCAGTTTCAGATATTGGTTACGAAACATGTGAGAAGGCAAAGTATTCGGTTATTGTTAGTGTTGAAAATGAAGGGGATATGGTTGGCAAGAACCCGGTTCTACTATTTGCAAAGCGCGACGAAGTTGTTAAGGGTAGTCCCGTGAAACAGTTGGTCGGATTTCAACCGGTTAGATTGAATGCAAAGGAAAAGGATAATGTTGAATTTGAAGTAAATCCATGTGAGCATTTGAGCAGAGCTAGTGAAGATGGAACTATGGTTATTGAATCAGGGGCCTATCATTTAATTGTAGGAGATCAAGTGTATCGTATGCATTCACCGCGTATGTTTGACAGCAAATTGTCTCAATTGATTTGAATTATTATATTCTTTTTTATTCATTTATTATTATGTAATTTCAAACTTAAATTATTTCAGATTAGATATATAATTTATCAAATATGTTATTTGTGGGGAATTTGAGAATTTTTATTTTAGAAGCGTACCAATTAGATATATAATGTGTATTATTTTATTTCACTAAAAGATCATAATTTTTTGATTTCAGTACAAAAAAAATTAATAGATACATTTAGTACATTAAATGAAAATATTTATGCTTGCACACCAAATATTTTTAGAATATTTTATTTTAAAGTCCGTAAATATTAGGAATTAAATGCTTATATGGTGGTGATAAATGCAGGACGAGTTTTAGTAAATGTAGGACATTTTATTTTAAAAATTCAACAGCTAATATTTATCCCATCTTACTTTTTTTGAGGAGACATTTGAGATTTATCGGGCACACAAGGCCAAATAAGGAGGGAGAGATGAACCCTCTAAAAAGTCATGAACACTTAATGAAGCTAAAGAATGAGCAAGGTGGTTTCCTTGTCTCTTGTCTCTTGACAAAGTAAAACGAGCAGAACGAGAAAGAACCAGATAAAGCAAAACATTCATCCAAAAAGACTCCAAAAGACTGGAGAGTAGATTTTCTTCCTTGAAGCAATTCCATGATCGGTAAACAATCCCCTTCCATTGTAATAGCATCCCAATTCTTCCAGCGGCATGATTCACCCTCAACTGGTCGAATGCATCCCCCGGAACCTCTGTGTGCGCCACCATAAACATTGCCCGTTAAAGTCACGAGCGTTCAAAGATGTAGTGAAATGTTAATCCCCCGGCGGTAAGGCGACTGTTGATTTATGTGCCTATAGAAATCAATTATTCTACGTAGTAACAGATTACTTGTTGAGACAGTATTATGTTGTAACTATAATTCTTGTGTTGTCACAATAATTAACTATTAAAGACATAATAAAGAACACAAGAATTTAATGTGGTCCAGACACAATTGTGCCCTACATCCACGAGGACCTACAAACACGATTTCATTAGTTTAGATTTACAGTGTACATTATTAGGACTTAATAAAAATAATAAAGACTCCCTCTTTAATTTTTATGTCGTTCTTGAACACAATTCAAACATCGTGTTTTCTCCACAACAGCTCCTCTACGCGAACCTTGAACCTTCTTCAAGTCTGAACTCCCTTTAGAAACGCGGAAGATCTCTCCCGAGAGGGCACATTACTGCTTTACAGTCTGCCCTAGCACGACTTCAATACGATGAGAGGTTTTTCTCCAATAAAAATGCTGAGATGTTCAATGACTTGTGATGCTTTATATGGCACAAATTTAGCCTCCTAAACCCTTGCTTGATCTTCAAGTAATCGTATAACTAGGTAAGTAGAATCCTAGCTGATTTCTAACTATATTCTAGATAAGTACAAATATACCTAATTAGAATAAGATACATATAAATAAATCAAAGTCCTAATAAGAATATTACAAACATAGGACTCTAAATAATTCCCGAAAATAAACATGGAAATAAATTTTTGCCAATCTTTTAATTCCAAAAAATTGTTGTATGAATAGTAAAGTTCAATTCCCTAACTTCAATTAACCCCCAACTGTATTGTCGAATTTATTGTTTGGAAGTGATAGACGGAGTAGATATTTCCAAGACAAAATCCGATCTTACAATTATGATGTTTTCGTTTACCTCTCTCGGTGGAAGCATAGAGACATCTATAAACAATGGGGCCGGTCCGTACATTTTCCTTCTTCCCGGTTAAAATTATCATTTGCTTGGAAGTTTATTACCGGAGGAAGGTACAATGTCTAAGTTTGCTCAGCAGTACATTTTCGACATAGAAAATAAAGTACAAAATAGAGTTGATGTTGTCAGGTATAAAATTATATTTGCTTACGCATCTGTTTTTCAAAATTTCTATTACTAAAATATCAACTAATTATTATCAATATTATTTCAGATCTCGAAATAATTCACATCATTTAGATCCCGTAATTGTGTCTTGATTAAAAGATATGATTGATGATTCCAATGTACTTGCGTGGTCATACAGAGCTGTTCGAGATTGTATTTCCAAAGATGGAGAGCAATGAGTAAAACTGAAATTGGTAAAGAGTCGAAGCACTAATGGTCGTAGATACAATCTTCCAAATGCTGGTGAAATAACAACTCTTATTGTTGGAGACTTTTACTATCAAGAAGGAATTAGAGACATTGTAGTAGAAACACAATCCAAGAAGTTTCAAACATATTAGTGAATTACATCCTCTTTATTTGCCGTTACAGTACTCCTTAAGTTTTACTTGCGGGGAAGATGGTTACAGAGAGGACATTCCTTCAGGGAATCTTCAACAAGTAATAGTAGGAAGTGAAGATGTGTAACCATGAGATAGTTCTTTGCATACAAGATACATAGAAGAAATTATTTTAGCAGTTAATGTGGATGCATTTTCGATGGTTGAATTCGAGAGATTGAATTTTATGAGACATAACCAAGATCAACTTAGGGTTGATATCTACAGGAGCATTGAAAAAAAAGTTGGAAGTGGAGATAATAATGGCAAACCTATTGGTATGCGTATAATTATTCCAGTGAAATTTACAAACAACCCGAGATATGTGTTCAACAAGTTCATGGACACACTATAAATATGTCGTTGGATTGGGTTCCCATAATTATTTTTAACTATAACATGCAATTAAAAGTGACCGGAAATACAAAGAGCGTAGAAAGATACGAAGTTGCGACCAGAAGATCATCCTGACATTCTTTGTCGAGTTTTGAAAATGAAGCTTGACAGTTTGACTACAGATTTTGAGAAAGGACATATTTTCCGACAATTAAATCATGTAAGTACCAACTTAATACTCTCTTTCAAATTTTCAACTATTTTATAACTAACTATAAGATAACTATAAGAAGAATAGAATTGGAGAAAGAGAGAATTAAGACGTAATAGAAACCCCCATGCCTTATGGGTTGATTAACATTGATTATATATAGAGAAATATTACAAGGTAATAGAGTTTAACTAGGTAACTAAGTCATAACTAATCTAGGTAACTGAATCATACTAGAATCCTAGTATTACAAGAGCTCTTACAATATAATGTACTCTAACACACCCTTGCAGTCGAAACGTGACGAACGTGAAGACTGGACAATCACTTGCTAACACATTCTGCAGTCAGAACAAATAAACACCAAACGTGAAGATTGGACAGCCGCGAAACACAACAGTAGAGAAATCGTCTGTGAAAATATCTGTCAAATTGATAGAAAGAAGAAAATAACAGGGGAGAGAAAAAATAATCAATTTCTCTTTTTATTTTTGTACTTTTTTTTTTAATTATTTTTTTAGAGAGAGAAGGGATGGTATGCACAAGAAAAGAGAGATATGAGAGGGGGAAGGAGCATAATTAAAAGAAGGGTAAAGATCAAAGAGATTAACTGACTACAACGATAGAGTACGACTCTTGTAACATGAAGAATAAGAAGATGTCGGAAAAGTAAATAAGTTGGAAGAGAAGAGTATCACCACCGGGAGAGGGAGGAAATTTGGGTGGTGGTCATGGCCTATTTGGTTGTCACCGGCCATGGAGAACTGTTTGACGAACTGGGCTCGGTGGAAGGGGTTGAGAAGAGCGGCTGGTGGAGGAGTAGTTTTGTCACCGGCCATGGAGGACTGTTTGACGAACTATTGCAACAGTTCGACGACGGCGGCTGAGAAGAGGTTGGGGAGAGGCAGCTAGGTTAACCTATTCTTTGATTGCATATAGGTAGAATAGAATCAGAGAAGAAGAGAATTAAGACGTAATAGAAACTCCCATGGCTTATGGGTTGATTAACATCATTATATATAGAGAAATATTACAAGATAATAGAATTTAGGGGCTCTTTGAGAAAACCCCCTCACTACTTTTTTTAATGGAGGGAGGCCCAAAATATTTTAGTCCATTTGAGAAAAGTCCACACCCATTTTCAGCCATTATGTTTTCCAGCTTTGCCCCCGCCCGCCACATCATCACTGGGTCACACGCTCAGCGATTTTTTATTATTTATTTATTTTTTTTTATTTTTTTTCCCGTTTTTTTCCGTCTTTTCTGTATCAGTTTCCTTAATCGACTATGCTTCATAGTCGATTAAGGAAATTATTTAATTTTTTAATTTTTTTTTTGTTTTTGAATTTTTTTTTATATGAGGTATATTAATCGACTATGATGTGAAGCATAGTCGATTAAGAATCTGCTACTAAAAATAACAAATCATAACTGCGAAAAAAATACAAAATCAACTATATATTACAAAAACAAAAAATATACAAATATTATAAATGATTTATACAATTGAAAGCAATAAACAAAAAATCCAAAAAAAATAAAAAAATTGGAGTCGATGAACCTTAATCGACTACCAGAGCATAGTCGATTAGCTTAATCGACTATGAACATGTACATAGTCGATTAAGGTTTCAGTCTGCGCGAAATTCTCTACACGCGCCTTCCTTCATCTGTTCAATCCACCAAAAAACCCTAAATCTGTCTCCCCATCGTCACCACACCACCGTCACAACACAACATCATCACCTTACTTTGATATGATGATGGTTATTTTATTACAAATAAATAAATAAAATCACAACTCGCACCACCAACCAAAGCAGAACCACCACCCATCAAAATCCGATTTCGGTGACAAATCGACAATTTATGGCTTTTGTTAAGATCTGCCGACGACGACCCCGACCCCGACTTCGACGGCGACGGCGACGGAGACGGCACCGACGACAATGGCTTTAACGGAATTAGCATCGTTGTTCTGGTTGGTTCTTCATCTTCCGATCAAGAGAGAATAATCTAAAGAATTGAGAGAGAAAAGTATAATATGGAGAAAAAAAACAGAGAATAGACGGGAGAAGAAGAGACGGGAGAGAAGAGAAAATAAGATTAGGGTTTGAAAGAGTATAGTAGACAATTAATGGTAGTTTTGGAATTATAAAAATATCACTTGGGTGAAATATT